TCTGTCTTCTCGGGATAGGAAGTCGATGGAACTAATAATTCTCCAGCGGGTCAAACGAGACATTGCACCCCAGACGTCGGGCAAAGACAAGAATTTGTGAGCTGATTCCATAGTGCGTGTGAAAATAGGGACTAAATTAGATATCTGAGCAAGTGCTGGATCTGTTTCTATATATATATATATATATATACTGTATATGTCCTCTCAATATGTACTGTAAAACATGAAACCCTACTCAGCCAAAACTCCGCCAATCTCTGCTGCCCGTGATTAGCTAACGAAAAGACATAGATAATCGTGGGGAAACCTGGAACATTCCGCCAACGTTCGCTACTCATGATTGGATGATGAAAAGCCGTAGAAAACAGTGGGAAAAGGTCATCAAAGCGGTCACAATGAGTCATCAGGCAAAATCCACGAAGAAGCGTGATAAAACGTGAAACACTCCGCTCTCATCCGCTACACCGTGATTGGATGCCCATAAGCCACAGAAAATAGTGGTGAGAGATTGAAGAGGTCATGACTAAGAGTACAGAGCCATGATTTTCTGTGGTAAGATGTGAAACCTAACTAGGGCAAAATTAAAATGCACTTTGATTCGTGATTAGATAAGACAATATATAAGAACCAGTGAGTAAATGGTCATTAAAGAGGCCGTGACACTAACATTAACTAGGCCAAATCCACGAAGAAGCGTGGCAGAAGATGAAATACTCTACTAACATTCGCTACCTGTGATTAGATGATGAAAAGCCATAGGAATCAGTGGAAAAAGGTCATCAAAGCGGTCGCGACGATTCGCGAGTCAAATCCATGAAAAAGCGTGGCAGAACATGAAACACTCCGCCGACCTCCGCCAGCATCCGCTGCCCAGGATTGGATGCCAAGAAGCCATACGAAACCGTGGTAAGAGGTCGATGAAGAGGTCGCTGACCAAGAGTGCAGACCCCATGATTTTCTGTGGGAGGATGTGGAGCACGACACAAAGAGACAACCATGTAGTCTTGTTGCCCCACTCACTAATACTAGTAGGAGTTTTCAGGCTCGAAAAACAGTACTGTATAGTAAAGTACAGTATTAAATGCTGTATTTGATCCACAGGGAGGGAGTTCTTAAGAAAACAATGGCTCAATCTGCTGCTGCAATAACTACTCAAAGGTACAGTACCGTAAGCCACGATGAAGTAATCGATTTTCACATCTTCATGGAAGGATTTTTAGTCTTTCATGGATCCTTCCTATGTAGTGAAGGCGGTGTTGTAAGCTAATCTCCGTTCAATGCTTCGTGCAAGGCCCAATCCTCCTCCATCGAATTACTCTCCGAATGTGGTTCACGGTTCGCCGTTTCCATCCTCACAGATTGAGTCCCACACCAGTTTTGAGTCTCAACAAAAATCTGCTCCAGAACTTCAGCTTTGTCTGTCGAGCTGAGCTGCGTCCGAAGGCTTGACACTAGGGAGGTGACTTTATTGAGAACTCCTTTCAAATTTTGATTTTCTGCTTCCAACAGTCTTTCACGTCGGCGTGTCTCAAGTAATGTATTCTGGTTCTGTCGGATCATGTTTTCCTTGTCTCTCCGCATAAAAGAATTTTGTATTTGCAGAGTGTGTGCTCTATCGATCAGGATTTGTTTTTCGTCTATTTGGTCGACTAGATGGCGACTGAGGCCAACAACTGTCTGATAGAGACGGGTCGGATTAGCCATGTTTGAAAAATACTTCTCAGTAGGTACAGCACAGTAGGTCTGAATATCTACACTTCGCCAGAACGAAAGGGAAGACATATATAAGCTACCTACCATACAAACTTGTGGTTATAGTCGAAATACCCCACGGAACCTGTAAAAGCAGCGGTCCAATTTTCGGGACTTATCGTGTTCTGAAGCTGTGCTGATGCAAAGATACAATACAGGTGATCAAGACTTCCTACGACGTGCCATTTTCATGCTTTTATGTCACTATGCCTGAGAATAGCTCGTTACCGTCGAATGACAGGGCTCTTAAAGCACAGAGCTTCTCTCTTGCTGGTCTTCTATCCTCCATTGGTGCTACCTCCTTTGCCTGTGTGTTCACCGTGGTGACATTCCTGATACTACGTAAACTCGACCGGTTTGACCCCATCCTGTACCTCATCTCCGCTACGTTGGCAATTCCTCTGAAGCTAACAAAGTACAGGGAACCACGAATTTTTTCCCACACTAATATCCTTACGGAACAGCTGCCTCGTCAGCCTTGGTGCTTGCTGCGTCGCTTTATCACGATTTCGAGCTCAAATATAGCACATGACTGCGGGATCGAGGCCTTATTCTTCGATCGATATATTCAATTTTTGCTCCGATTATTCGGGTGGTCTGTGCTGATCACTCCAGCCGTGATGGCATACAATTATTGCCTGGGTTCCGCTGATGGAGTAATAGATGCTCTGGACAGACTTAGTTGGTCCAGCTTGGATCCTGAGCAAGTTAGGCTCTACTGGGTCTACGCTGTATGCGTGCCCTGCTTTGCTGGTTACGTTCTATTTTCTATCAATCGTGAGCTCCAACGGGCCGTCTCGTTACGCTCATCTTTGATCCAGGAAGGTAGTAGAGGGACCGATCGGCGTCCTCCTCGGTTCTTTGTCGCAGTGACAGGAATTGCCCCTGACCTCCAATATGAGCGAGGACTGCGGTCGTACTATCACCAATGGGAATCGCATATTTGCACAGTAACATTTGTGGGCGGTAGTTTCAAAAGGAAACTCACGGCAAGGCGAAACCAACTCATCCGGAGCATCGAACGATGTGAAGTGGCCTTTATTTTCGACGAAATGAAAGAATGTGCCGGAGAAAAGATTAGCATACAGCATCGAGTGAGGGAAAGAGTGAGAAACCGCTACAGCCGCTCTCTCTCCCAAGATCGGGGATTCTCCAGGCAGCTATCACAGGCTATAAGCCAATGGGCTCCGTACAATCTACAACCAGTCGAATGGCAATATCGGTCTCTTGGTATCATAAATCACGCGATCCGTCAACAGCGGGAGAACTCTCCCGGAAGTGCAAGCTCGGCGATACTCGAGATCGACGATTATCTCATTGCGAGGGCTCTCGTGGCGGCGAAGACATCAGTGGATACACCGTTCTCAAGTCTGCAGTATCTAGGCACGTGTCGATCGCACATAATCCCTTCGAATATCCGAAATCCACTCCACTTATTGCACATCCGAAGGGGTACGATTGATCTTACTATTTTGGGCCTGACAACATTGTGGACACTTCCAGTTGGGGCAAACGGTTTTGTGTCTCAGCTGAATGCAGGACTCTACCTGATCCAACGATCTTTGACATTACCATCGTGGCTACTCGGGCCACTCCAAGGGGTAGTACCTCAATTAGTGACATCTACTCTAATGAACTGCTTCCCCTACCTTCTGCGCCACCTCATAGGCTGGAAACAATACCCGACGGTGGAGGACTACCATCTCACGTTTCAGTCATTCTATTTTCACTTTCTGTTCATTCAACTATTCATTGTCACTTCGGTTTCATCCGGACTTATCCCCAGTCTTGTCGTTGTGGTCAAGCGTGGTATCACGGAGGTACCGTGTCTCCTCGCGCAGAACCTACCCTTGGCGAGCAACTACTTTTTGTCATTTGTCGTTCTGCAAGCGGCGTCCTCGGTAATTTCCACCATCTTCCGAAGCTCCGCCTGGTTTCAGCTTTGTGCTACTCCCATGGACAAGCTTCGAACGCCGCGAGACTTGGTGAACCGGATTTACGAGACCCACGACCAGATCGACTGGGAAACGGTATACCCAACATACTCTACTATTGCTAACATCGGTGCGGTAGCCTGTCTCCTTTCGAGAGCTGAGGACTAACTTGCGTGGCCAGTCTTGATCTACGCATTACTGGCGCCCTTGATTTTACCAATCTCTTTCTTGGCTTTTGGTATTGTACTTATCTGCTTTCGATACAAACTATTGTACACCTCTAACACCCTCGTCGACCACGGAGGATTGCATTACTTTCACGCCATCTTCCAGCTTTTCTGGGGTGTGATCACCTCTGAGCTATGCCTTCTTGGTCTATTCATTTTGAAAATTAGCCCAACACATCTCGGCCACGATGTCGGCCAGATAGTCCTCCTCTCCCTGACGCTCTTTTCGACCATACAGTATCGAAAGTTTCTTCGACATGTATACGAACCCCATCTCAAAAGTCACGGTATAGAGTTACACTTGCAACCTCCCCATTCCCCTGTCCAACGAAAATTCCAAGCAGCAACAAGCGATCTTCCGCGTTGGTGTGATTCATCTTTCGGTACCGCCATAGCAAATACAGTCATTTGGTTGCCAAAGGATCCATTCGACATCAGTGACATCCTGATCCAGGTGGTCAGCCAGAAATACTTCGATCCTGGAGACAAATGTTGCTCTAACTCTGGTGCGGAAATGAAGTTATCTGGCCAAGTCATTCTTAAAGAAAAAAACCCACCAGCAATGATGGGTTGTCCTGAGAACGGTTTCTCTTAACTCCCTAGATTGACAAGTCGATTTCCGTTCCCTTCACTCTCGCTTCTCAAAGTGAACTTAATTCGCTGAGCGCACGTCCGCTGGATGTTGTGTTGAGATGTATATGCTATATCCCGCAGAGCTGAGTGATGAATTCAAATGACCAGTAGTAAGAGATATATCAAAATGACACGAAAATAAAGCAAAAGCATTATGGCGAGGTCTGAGAATATACTATAAAATTAGGCTTATACTACTCCGTGGCGGACTGGTTAGCCTTTGCCATATGTAGTTATATACACTGTAAGAGTCGAATTGTACTCCGTACACCCTGCACGGAAAATGGTGGAAGGTTTCCAGAGCCCACTCCTGCTAATGCTAGGATTTTCCGCCCTAGTGCTCCGTATTTGTCCTCGCAAACAGGTGGAGAAAGCCGCCAATCGATGATGAGTTCGCTACATATAAGCTACAATCATCAAGGAACGGAGTGTAGATCTCGGTACATCCTGCAGCATGGATCGTTGTCCACATGTGCAATGGCTCGGCCTAGAATGTTTAGTGCCAGACTGGGCTCTGCTCGACTCGGATCGTCTGAACATGGTCATCAACCAGCTACGAGACCCTCTACAGCAATTCCCCTCCATACTATTATTTCTGGGGACCAAATCAAAAACCACTGCTTTAAGGGGATTGTATGTCGGCAACAACCCTACGCGGCGTCCCCCGCATGGAATTGCAAACCTCCACGTGGACTCGAATACAACCGAGTCCGAACAACCCATTATTTTTGCCGACTGTACGGTCAAGGCAGAGTGTTCCAGTTTAACCGACGGTTATCATGGCTGCCATGACCAGAGTCGCTTTGCAATTTATCGGGAGCAAGACGATCCCATCCTGAAATTGTCCAGCATGGTGGCATATGTCCACCTTAACCTTCTGTTCCCCTTCACACACGTGGTTTGTATCTTTGCGGACGACTTTGGAGGCAATGCCAGTTGCTCTCAATACATCGACAACTGGATTCAGCTTGGTACTGAACAAGATGCCCTGGGACGCCCACAGCTGGTAATCGTGACCAGTCAACTGACGAGGATCGATGCCTTTGTGCAGATCGAATGCAGTTCCAAGTTCTCCTTGCTCTTTGACTCCTTGGTTATCCTTACTTCCGATGTCTCCGCTTGTCCAAGTGATCCCGCGTCCCAGTTCTTACAGACGCGCCTGAGGTGCATCACTGACGACGTGAGAGAGGACCGTCGTGCGCGTCACCTGCTGTTCAGTGGCCTGCACGTGGTGGAGGCGTTCTCTGCAGCAGTGCCACAGTTTGCACGAAATCCGAGGAGATCTGTCGACATGCTAAGATGTTTCGCGCAGCCTTCGATATCCTGGCGTGCCTTTCGCACCTCTCTGAATGCCTTTTCGGCTGTAGCTGCGAACATGGAGTCGCGGCCGCAGCTAGTTTTTGATTTCATTGCCTCTACAATGCTAGTGCACGCTTATCGAGCGCAGACTCACCGTGGGTGCATCGAACTGTCCCTTGGAGTGTGCACCTGAGGGTCCTAACATTAAACATTCTCAGGCTTCTCTCCGGCCTTGATGTTCAACGAGTTCTTCCGCCAACAGCTCACCACGTCTCAAATGCCTGAGAGATACAATGATCCAAGCGCGATTCAAGCGCGATTCGTGGAACTTTTTGATCTGCTCAAGTTCGAATCTTCGGCTATCGAGGTACGGCGAAAAATTCTGCGGCAGCACCGACCTCACTGGAGTCAGTTAAAGTCGACAACTGAATGCTTTCTCTGCATGACCCGACCAACAGAGCGAATGATGCCTTGTGGCCATAGCGCGTGTGAAGAATGCATTCACGATTACTATCCACCCGGTACAGCCCCATATACATATCATGTAGGTGAGTGTGAGTTTTGTGGTGTGGATGCTCTGACCACTTTGTATTGTAAACCTATCACGGTACAACCTAATGTTGCAGCAATTGACGGAGGGGGGGTGCGCGGTGTGGTTGCCCTGGTGCTACTAAAACGCTTGCAGGCCGCCCTTGGCACACACCAACCTATTTCGGATTACTTCGATTACTTTATTGGCACAAGCGCTGGTAGGGTAATCCAATGCGGCAAAATCTTTCCGGCTGACACGAAGAGTCACAGGGGGTCTGATCGTCCTGGATCACGTGATTTGCGGCTCGTCTCTCGACACCAGCATAGATCGGTTGGAAGCCCTTTCCCATCTAGTTTTCCCTAGTCAGACGTACAGGTTTTGGTCACTCTCTCGACGTCTACTTCACTGGCTGTCCTGGTGGCTGAGTGACAATAAATATGACACCGGGGCTTTAGAAGATGCGGTACAAGACGCCTTTGGTGTTCATCAACGCATGTTCGATTCACGGAGTCAACCTTCGCTAGGAACTAAGGTAGCGGTCACCGCGACCACCGTGTCCACATCCCAGCTTCGGTTGTTCACGAACTACAACGGAGTGGCACGATCGAAGCAAGGAAAGGGTATGTGTGTAGGCTGGCCCTGAGTCTCTCTTCTGATCAGAAAATATCAGGCTATGCTATCTTACGACCTTCCACGCCTTCCGCCGAGGCATATCTCTGGGAAATGTACGTCGTAGTGCGAGAGTCGACCAAGAAGTGAATAAACAGTACTAACAAGGCACTCTAGCGCCCGAAGTACCTCGGCGGCTCCAGGGTGAATACGCATCCTCGATGTGTGTCCTGAGACGGGCTGACGGTTGATCAGGTACTTTCGGCCCAAAATTCTCGGCCCTTTCGGGGCGTTACAGGACGGCGGGATCAGAGCCAACAACCCAACCGACGCCGCTCTCTGGGAGTTGAATTGTATATGGCCTGAATCCGATGGACCTAACTTGGTTCTTTCGATTGGGACTGGTAATCAGAAACCTGTACAGCACGACACCGGATCATATCGAGGAATATGGCTTGACGGTTTCATTCCCCGAATACTACGAGCCTTCTTATCCTCACCGTCCCTCGACGCTGATAGCAGTTGGATGGCTCTTTGGAATCGCCTCGATGACATTACAAGGGAGCGATTTCATCGTCTGTCTTGCGAATTTGACGGCGACTTTCCCTCTCTGGACGACAGCGCCCAGATTCTTCGACTGATTCAGATGGCTCAGGATACTACGTTGGACTTAGACGTGCTGAAACGCAGTCTATGGGCATCACGTTTTTTCTTTGAACTCGAGTCTAAGCCCCGGCGAATCCGTGGTTATTACGTATGTCAAGGCACTATCTTTTGCAGATTTCGCGACTGCCGTGACGTGTTAGTAACAATCCGTCGCCGCTTCCGTTCGCCTAAGATTATCGTGGAGAATCGAGTACTGCTTGACTTGAACGATGACACTTATTTCTGCCAAAGATGTGGGCATTTCAAGGGGACAGTGATGTTTGAAGTTTCCCATCTAGGACAAACAGTTTCACTGAGTTTAAAGTTTGACAATGACAGGCAGAGCCATCTAGCCAGCTTTCCGAAACCTATGGAGTGGTTCATTGCAAGGCAATCCAAGGATGGTCAATGGCGCCAGTGGCAGTCCTCCAAACCGTGTTGTGAAACCCAACTGAAGCGACCACGACGAGGCTTTGCAAGAAGTACAAATAAGAGGCCGAGACTTCGATGATATTCATCGTATTTAAATACTGTAGTGTATACTCAAAATACATCAAAACCTTTTGTATCCCTTAGGTAGAAGCAAAGTTGGGAAAATTCAGTGTCTCTCTCAGATCTTATTGTTTCCTCGGTCTCTCGCTTGTCTTGTCATACAGTACTGTATCGACATTTCTGTAATCATACAGTAGTTACGCTTGCAAAGAATGCCCTGCAGAGGGAGACCAGCTAGCGTTTACTACTGTCACGCCCCACATATCTCAGGTATCGCCCATTGCACTGAAAACTGTGGATTATACTGCATGCCTAGAGACACCTTCGGTATCAGGAACCATCGTGAGGAAAGGGACCCTTTATACTTGGAGCATCGGGTACGGGAAGATATCATAAACGTTGGTACTGTAATCTTTAGGACCAAGATAATGCTGAGGTTTGGTCTGAGACGCTCAAGTTTGCACCCTTGTGTATTCTGACGTGTCTCATTTGCCTTTTTGCAATGCACATGTACCGGCGGCCTGATCGCATTGGACCATATCTAGGCAGTATTAGGTGTCATCTCGGGGAAAAGATATGGTCTATGAGTCAATGCTACAGTACTGTGCATGAACTAGTCAGAACAAACCCAGCCTAAATAACCTGGAAACCCGAACAAATCCCAGCAGGTCCTAGTGCAAAATATATATACTCTGGTCCTCTCTCCTGACTTTTTGTGCGTCTCCTTAATTCCTGAACAGAGGATCAACATGACGCGTATCAAACAGAAGGTCAGTTCTCCGTAATCTTCTTCAACCACGCTCCTGACTCAGGGCAGGCAGTCATCCCTACTTGTTCAACAGCATCTCGCCAGCGAGCCGGCGAATCGCTTCGCCTGCCAACTACACGGGGATCAGTCAAAAGACTTCCGCAAGCATTGAGCGGTGGAGGCAAGATTCGACTCGCGTCCTTGTTATCGAGCTAATATGTATACAGTGAAGAAACCTCGTCGCTGGAAACCAGGAACTGTTGCTCTCCGCGAGATCCGCAGGTATCAGGTATCTACACATCTCGTCTGTCTGCAGACAAGAGGTTAACTGCAAGAAAGGGCTCGACAGAACCACTTATACGAAAACTGCCATTCCAGCGACTGGTGCGCGAGATTGCATCGGATTACAAGATCGACCTCCGCTTCCAGTCAACCGCAATAGGGGCATTGCAAGAAGCCACAGAGGCATATTTGGTGTCACTATTTGAAGATGCAAATCTATGTGCCATCCATGCCAAAAGAGTTACCATAAAGTTGAAGGATATTAATTTGGCACGACGTTTACGCGGAGATCGTGTTTCCTGAATTTTCAAACTATACGGAGGTATCACCTTGCACTGTGTAACTCTTCCATGGGTCAAAATTTCTGTCAAGAACTTACTTCGCAAGTGGGGATTTAGAACGTAGGCAGTTTTGGGCTCTACATTCATGCACTGAGAAGCAGGGAGGCCAACTTGGAAGGCAACAAAGCACTATCTTTAATTTCATGCATTGATTAACTCTCAAATATGGCTAAATAGTCAAGACGGGGCGCATACGAGCGAAGACTCAGCTGACCCATCTCAACTAGAGGTTAGTGACCCTTGTGCTACTTCGCCCCTTGGAAACCTTACATGGCTGTGGGATGGTGACATCGTGCCACAAGGAGATATCGCCTTGCATTAGCAGAAACAGGCTCGAAAGGGTCGAAAGGCGGCTCCTCACTAAAATTATGGTGTCACTGGCCAGATTACCGTGGAATCGAGCCTCAGTAGACGGAAATATCACAATACAATCATGCTAGAGATAATGGTTAACGGCTCAACTTGCAGCCTAGCTGCATGAGGTGGCAACTCTATAGACGTCGAGTTATGTAAGACGAAAGAATTGGACCACAAGTTTCCATGGTGTGTGGGAGATATGACACTTGACTCAGATAGCATTCAGACGCCCTTGCCTAGTTGCCACTAGCAAGGCCCAGACTACTCCCTTACGTGTCACTTCCAGGACACTGGGAATGTCAAAGACAGAGGATAAAAGACTGAGGGGGCCACCTCGTTCTCAGATGTACTCCCTTGTTTTAATGCCCTAGGCCATGGCGCCCTCAAAACATTTTAAATCGAGCACAAAACGCCAGACAGGACCTCCCACGATAACTAAGACAATCTCGGTACCCAAGTTTCATGATTCTCGTAAGTTCTGATATCCTATCTGCTCAAACTAAGATTATCTAACAGGTGATTTCACTCTAGAAAGCAACGCACAAAGTGACAGTGCGAACGAGGACGAAAAGGAGATTTTGACTAGAAAGCGACCTATCCTTGATCTGACAGTGGAAACTGAGCAGTGTGTACTTTGTTCACGCGTACTGGGTTCTGGCACCGACCACTTATCACGCATTTTTCTTTTCACCTCCTGCGGCTGTGTGCGTTTGCCTAGACTGGTAGCCCAGTAAATGATGCTTGCTCATTGTGACCAGGTGATCTGCGGAGATTGTAGCTTAGGAAGCCACCCCACTGACATTCGGAATCGTCATCGAATCAGTCTGCTATACCACTGTCCTCGGCATAATCATTTCATACATGGGCGACAGAAAGTGCGAGAGATCTTCGGACTGGAATGTGCGATATGTCTGACATCATTGTACGAAAAGTACGAGCGGCCTGGCGATGAGAATGAGTTGGAGGCACAAGACGAACGTGTGCGGCTTCCATGCGGTGATTATCCTCCTAGAATCCGACCGTCAAGCCAACCACTTCTGACTTAGCTAGGACACTGCTTCTGCCGAAAATGCCTTCGCATGTGCGTTGCATTTGCTCTTCGCTCTTCGTATCACAGGTGTCCAAAGTGTCGGCGTCGATGGGATGGGATTATTGATGGGCTCCCGGGATTGCAAACTATTTTATATCTACAATCTTAGCTGCAATCTTGTGTAAGGGCGATCTTGCGAACCACAGATCACGAAGCAAACCTTAACGGAGCCGGCAAAGCCATTTGACCCAGGTTTGTGATGAGCTTAGCCAACTGTTGAGTAAATGGTCATCTAATACAGCGCAGCACGGACTCTTATCTAGTGGTTGGCGACCGAAGCACTTTGCTAGCCCTCGTCTCGGTCACAGACCCTCCTCATGGAGTCCAATCGCGGATGTGCTCAGTACACGGCTACTAGGTACACCATGATGAATCCAATGCCTACTTTTTGGGCCACTGTCTAAGTTAGACATTCTCCTGACGATATAATGGTGCCTCTCCTTGTTTCACCGCTAGCGTCCTTCCAGCTTAGCGTATTGGCACGATGGTTATTGCATAAGAGATAGAATAGACTCAGCTCTTTCACTACGACATTTCATGTTACAGTACATTTTGCAGTGGCTGTCGCTTTCAGTAGAACGCAGACATGAATGACATCGTAAAAGCTGTATAAAGAACTACGCTTAAGGATGTAACTTCCTTTAAAACTTCCTTTAGTAATATGCTCTACTTATTTCTAGCTACTTCGCTAATCGAAATATTTATGCTCCTAACGCTTGTCTCTATATAACTTAGCGATCGCTATTAAAGCTATAGATTATACGCTACTATAATTCTCCACTAGACACGATTTAAAACAATTATGCCTTTAAGACTGAAAGTTAGCTACTAGTGAACAATGTAAAATGTAATTATACTATTTAAAATAAGGTGTTAGGAACGGCCTAAGGAATAGGCAGAGTAATAACACAATAAGAATAGGTCTTCCTATCTAGGTGCTCTAGGTACAAAGACTCCAAGCATGAGAAAAGGAAGTTCCTCATGCGAGAGGCTTGCGGGAATTGTGCGGTTCCCCTGAGTTCTCTTGGAGTTAAGTACTTAGTAAGTACGCTTGGCGTGGAGTTTGAGATGTCGTCTGCTCTTTATCTCGTCTACTCGTGACATAAGGCCTGTTGCTCGAACCTAACTAAGTATTATAACAGGAGTAGACGGGGAAGCACCAGGTGCGCACAGGGTCGACCTGTAACCGTAACAACGATAAACCTCGAACTCAGAGGTCCTCCCTATCGCGTAGAGAGTCTTCTGTAACCTGTGCTGTACGTCGGCAGCACCCTCTGGCTGTCCTGACGCTCTCTGCCTCGCCTGAGGCACTCGCTGGCACTCGCCGCTTAGTCGTCCTAGCCACCTGTGTCCGTACAGGCGCACTCGACATTCACGGGGCCACGAGGTAAACGAGTCACTCGTTTAGCATCACCAGGAACCTCACACTCGCATGTCAGGGAACACTCGTCTCATTACCTAGTTGCGCGCACGCACTCGCGCGTAGGTGGTTGTGTTGTTGCTACGACGTGTGTTATCTCTATCTACTTGCTCGCTGCCATCGCAGGAAAGGAGACGCGCACAGCCCATCGCTCATCAGCCAATCACATCGCAAGGAAGGACCTCCAGCCATTCTCACTACAGTATGCATGATTTACAAAGTTAATAAAGAGGTAAGAATCACACGGCCATAAGTGTTAGCAATAATCTTAAGGCGATAAATTAGGCCGTAAGAGCGATACTCCATTGAAGAGATTTGAATATTATGAATATTCTTTGAACGGGTTATGAACATGAAGAGAATTATTTTTCAATGCAAAAGATGCTAGCTAAGACATTACAGTAACTCGTGGTAATACAAGTAGACGACGCTTTAGCTGCTGAGGATAGGATGCTAAACACTTAAAGAATAGTCTTTAAGCCAGACTACCATGGTAAGTTTACTAACACGAGACCCCGAAACGACGTAGCTAGCGAGCGGTGCGGCATGACGAAGAGGAGATTTAATTTGTATGGGCTTTAAGAATAGGTCATATCTTAAGAACTGTTAGCTTGCCCTTTCGGTCTTGGCCGCCGGGCGTAATAAATTGTGTGTGTGTGTGTATCTGTCCCAATCCATATAAAGACGACATCGGTGTTTAGGCTCTTAGTTCGGCCCTTTATTGGGCTCATGCCATGAATTTATATACACTAGTTTTCTGCATGGGTTGGTAGCTGTGGTATTCTCAGGCTGAAATTAGGATCCTTGAAGGCCAATACGAACTAGGAGGAGGATAGACGTAGAATGGAGTAAGCCACCAGCCATGCAAAGAAGACTGCTCATTTCACCATGGACAGAGTGAATGGCAAGATAGTCGTATCTGAGCCCAAGCAATTAGGACGGAGAACTCGTGTACTGTGCGCCAACGCCGTACGGCCATCTCTGTCGAGAGATGATGACTGTGTACTGTACAGAAAAGATAGAAATTAGTCGATGGGGCAGCCTCCATTGACTCACTAGAGGTAAGTACATGATGAACCGTGGATTCAATGCACGTTTAACTGTAAGTTGAGAATCCGGAGGCGCCTGTAGAGTCCAGTAGGTAAGTCGTTCCGAAAGCGGTCATGGAGCTCGCCCGCACCAAGTGGCGGTCTAGCTCGGCATCTTGTGTTGCTGTGAGCCTGGAAGACCGAAAGATCTTCATATCTGCTCTCTTTGCAAGCTAACTTTATCTAGCCCCCGACCTTGACTGAAAGGTCTGATAGCGAGGCTCTCTCAGCTTGCTACCATCGTGTTCAAGTCGTAAGTATCTTTGTCCTCAAACATCACAGAACGCTTAGATTTTTCGGGTACCTGATACTCGTGTTCATGATATTGTACCTTGACGTCTTCCTGCTGCGCAACCGCTCGTCTCACCGCCGCCCTTGACCTCGCGTCAACACAAACTAATCGCCAAGTCAGAATTTTTGGCACTAGAAATTCTCTCTCTTACCTGATACCAATAGCTTTCCTCTCCCTTCTCGATTGGTTTCCTGTTCTAGAACTTGTTCAAAGCGAGCCGGCAGAGCAATGAGTCTAACTAAATCATGTGTACCAGCAATAAGAACCTCTCCCGAACCCAGTTTTATCGGCCTGCTGCTGCCATCGGCAGGATGATAGCTGGCACTGCCAGGGCTGTGGATACATATTTCCAACATCTGTAAAAGTGAGGACATATCAATGAGCCTTGGTGCGTCGAACATACGAAAGACGTGTCGCTGGGAAGTAACCTGTCAAACCACTTCTTAACCCACTTGTCATGATCTGCAACTAGTTAGAGAGGTCTGCAATCAAACAGGAGCGAAAGTTTTACTGCTGTCTTTCACTTGCCACACAACCACCACCCGTTTGGTCCGAATCGACGCCTCTAATCGGCCCTGCATGAGCGACTTCAAGTAAGGGAGGTGGGCCGCAATGCCAATATCCGTGGCCAGCATCAGTATAGACCCGTAGTCTCCGAAGTTCTCAGATCGACCAAATGGGCGACTGACCCAAGTGACGTACTCATCATCACGGT